AGCACCGCCAGGAATGATTCCTGAGTGCAGAGCCAGGAGTGACCCTGTGCATTGCCGGGTGCTACCTAAAAAGCCAAAAAAAAAAAAAAAGAAAAGAAACAAAAAAAGAAAGTCAAAGAGGAAGGAACAGTGACCCCCGGGTGGGGAGGAGCCACCTGCAGGGCTTGATCCCACTTCTGGCTCTAAGAGAGAAAATGTTGTGAACTCGGTTATTTTTTGCCACACCTGGCAGTGCTCAGGGTCACGCCTGACGGTGCCGGGCTTGTACCTGTGATGTGCTAGGCCAGTGCCACCCGCCCCCCCATGGACTCTTGAGCGCCCCCACTCAATGTCACTCAGCGTTCTTCACGTGGCTAAGCTGGAGACAGCCACATGCCTGTCCCCAAAGGGTCTGTGGCTGGAGCGTCACGCAGTTTGGCCAACAAGGATGAAATGGGTCCTGCACGGCAAAGTGGAAGGAGCTGAAGGGGTCCTGTGCAGTGAAATGAGTTGGAAGGAGAAAGACAAATATTGGACAATTTCACCCACGTGTGCAGTATAAGGAAACAGCGGGCGGAAGAAAAACACCCGATGATAAAAATAAATATTTGGCAACAACTGAGGTGAGTGGAGGGGAAGTGGTTGGGGGGGTGGGATCAAAGGTTAAGGGGGTCCAAGGAGAGTCGGTCGGCCTTTGAAAAAAACCCTAAGATGAATTTGTAAGTTGAAATCCACAGGCAACTATTTGAAGAACAATCCAGTATGAAAATTAAGATTTGGGGCTGGACAGATGGTGTAGAGGGGAGGGCGCTTGTCTTTTTTTTTGGGGGGGGTCACACCCAGCAATGCTCAGGGGTTACTCCTGGCGGTGCCCGGGGGACTATATGGGATGCTGGGGATTGAACTCTGGTCGGCCATGTGCAAGGCAAATGCCCCACCCGCTGTGCTATCTCTCTGGCCCCAGGCGCTTGTCTTGAATGCGCCCAACCTGGGTGTGATATATATGGTCCCCTGAGCACTACCAGGAGTGATTCCTGAGTGCAGAGCCAGGAGGAAGCCCTGAGCACTTAGGGTGTGGCCCCAGAACAAAGAGAGAGACTTAAGACCCTGTTGCCTGTCCTGCTTGCTTTTTCTCTACAGAGGATGGGCACTGGGGAGACACGAGTTTGTGTTGGAATCAGCCTCTCCACAGTGACGACAGAACAGAGCACAGGCTGTGTGTGGTGGGTGCTGGCCTGACCCTGGCACTGATGGTTCTCCGGGTACCATCCCGAGAACAGCCCCGAAGCATTGCTGTGTGTGGCCCAGAAGCCCAGCGCACACACACATGCACACGCACACACACACACGCACACACACATGCACGTACACACCACACACACGTGCAAACACATGTGCACACACATGCACACGCGCACACACATGCACACACATGTTCACACACCACAGACATGCACATACACATGCAATGCACACACATGCTTACACACATCACACACATGTGCGTGCACACATGCACACACATGCACGCACACACACATGCACATACATGCATACGCACATGCACGCACATGCTCACACACACCACAACATGCACACACATGCACACACATATGCACACACATGCACACGCAAATATACACGCACACACACAGAATAATATGGGGATCAATGAAGCTGGATAGGGGATGACCCCTCTGGGTGGCTTGGTCCAAGTCAGGCTCAGGAGGCCTGGGGGGGTGTCCTCAAAGAGCTGAGTGCGGGGGACAAGGAGGTGGGGGTCTCGAGGGTGTGTCCCGGAGGTCCAGGAGAAACCTTTCAAGAAAAGGGACATTCTGAGGCAGGAGGGACCGTCCAGCGGGTGTTTGCCTGGTACACGGCCAACCCGGGTTCAATCCCCATAACCCCATATGCTCTACTGGGCCCCATCAGGAATGATCCCTGAGCACTGTCCAGGGTGGTCCCAAACCCCAAGACGAAGAGAAAGAAATGGGCCTCCTCTGGCTTAGCCCTGCAGAGGCCACGTAAGGTGACGCCCAAGCTCGGCTCACGGGATGAAGCAACGGGGAAGGATGGAGCAAGCTTGGTTAATGGAACTGCAGAGACAAAACCCAGAGCAGCTCCGGGGGACGCAGGGAGAGAGAGGGGTGAGCTATAAATAGCTCCTGGGAGCCGTTTTGTGCAGAGGGAGAGCAACAGCCCAGAAGCTGGAGGGGAAAGTAGAGAGAAGCCGGGAGAGGCAGGAGAGGTGGGGTGTCCGCTAAGGGTCTCACCCCTCCGCTCGCAACAGGAAGCGAACAGAGGCTGCAAGCCTGGGCCAAGCCCTGCACATTCCTGCCCAGAATCCTGGCCAGTGGCAGCCGGCCCCCTCCTCCGGCACCTGCACAGGGTCACCTGGAGCTGACGAATGTCCAGCCGAGGTGACAGGCACTCCAGGACACAGACAACTCATGTTCCACATCACTCTTCTGCTCCCCTCGAGGATGAGGTTAGTCAGTCTGAAACCGTTCAAACCTCTTGGCCAGTCCAGGAGCTTCTCGTGTGGTCAGCAGCAAACATTGTATGTCGGCCAGCCATACAAACGGAAACACAGAACCCAGCAAAGGGGCCTGGTGAGATAGTGCAGTGGTAAGGTGCTTCCCTTGCACGTGGCCGACCTGGGTTCGACCCCCAGCATCCCATAGAGTACCCTGAGCACCTCCTGGAGTGATTCCTGGGTAACTCCTGAGCATCGCTGGGTGTAACTCAAAACCTTAAAGGAAAAAAAAAAAAAACCACCAAAACCCTAAATTAAAAAAAAAAAAAAAAAACCCAGCAAAACAAAACAAAACAAAAAACCCCAAAAAAACCTAAATTTTGGTTTCACTTTTGGGCCCCACCAGGCGCTTGTTTTTGGCTCTAATCTCAGGGATCGCTCCTGGGGTGCTCAGGGCAACCATGTGAGATGCAAGATGTAACCTGGGTATGCTTTGAGAAAGGCAAGTGCCCTGCTCCAGATGCTAAGATGCTATCTCTCCAGTCACGTCTTTGTCGTCCCCCCCCCCCCCCGCCACCCCCACTGTACTATCTCTCTGGCTCCTTCCTTGTTCCTCTTTGCCCCTCATTGCACAATCTTCTCCAGACCCCCAGAGTTTGGGGTTTTTAAGAACAAAATGTTCCCAGGGATCTTGAGGACACACATGCTTAAGCCGGGCAGGGCCCCAGTCAATCCTTGATGCTGGTTCCGCATGGCCAGAAGGGCTGTTCAGAGAGAAAGAATGTTCGAGTAAGGAACGTGCAGTCCTCCCAAAGCGAGGCAGGTGACTATTTCACGGGTAAGGAAGCGGCTCTGCCCTGCAAAATCAGGCCTTGGTGCTCCCAGAGACACTCAGAGACCCCTTATGAATGAATGAGGCTTTATAGGAAGCTCACTCCGGGGGGAGAGGGAGGCAGGGATGGAGGGCAGGACCCAGTTGACCCCGGGGTTTTTGTCTGGTGCCAGGAATAGAATCCAGGACCCCATGTATGCAAGAAACACCCCCAGCCTTATTATGCACTGTAGCACTGTCCTCCCTTGTTCCTTGATTTGCTCGAGCGGGTCCAGTAACGTCTCCATTGTGAGACTTGTTACTGTGTTTGGCAAAGTGAATACATCACAGGCAGCTTGCCAGGCTCTGCCGTGGGGGTGAGATACTCTCGGTAGGTTGCCGGGCTCTCCCAGAGGGGTGGAGGAATCGAAACTGGGTCAGCTGGGTTGGCCATGTGCAAAGCAAACGCCCTACCCGCTTGGCTTTCCGTCCAGCCTTATGCATCATTTTTTTTTGGGGGGGGTGTCAAGTGTTCAGGGGTTACTCCATACTCAGAAATCAATCCTGGGAAACTCAGGGGATCAGATGGGGTTCTAGTGATCCAACCCAGGTTGGCCACAGGCCAGGCAAATGCCCTAACCACTGTGCTCTCTGCCGCACCTCCGGCTGTGTTTATTTTGGGAGGGTAGCACAGCTGGGTGTTCAGGGCTTTCTCCTGGCTCTACACTCAGGGGTCACACCTGGTTGTGGGTGGGGGAGGGGGCATATGTGGTACCGGGGATGGGAAGGTGGGTGGGCTATTTACTTTTGGGCAGCACCTGTGCTCGGGAATCATTCCTGGTGCTGCTGGGGAATTCGGTGTGGCTGCGTGCAAGGCCAGCCCCTTACAGAACTGACCCCCGCCCTCTTTTTTAGCTCCTCCAAAACTTCTCGGGGTGCCATCTCGGATTCTGCCATTGACCGGTGCGCATGCACGTGCCCAGGCGGCCCAGGGTGGGCTCAGCTGGTCGTGGGTGGCTGGCGGTGGGCTTCAGATAGATGGGTGCGGGGTCCCTTTATGTTTGCTGCGGCTTAGTTCCTGCTAAGAAATGAGAGTTCTCTGGGGGCGACGATCTTGAGGTCGGAGAGACCGGGGGCCCACGCCCCAGCCCGCCCCCGACCCGCGCACGTCCTGGCGCAGCGCCTGGCGACACCGTGTTCCCGGCGCTGCCCGTCTCGAGAGGCGGTTTCCGTTCATTGTAAATATTTGGAAAATCCCATCTCCGGCTGCTGGAGACGGTGCTGCAATTCCGGGGGCTTTGTCTTGGCGGGGGGGGGGGGGGGTTCTGCGGCCTGGACGCGTCCTGGACGCCGAGGCAGGGGTCCCGGAGGGCTGCAGGGGGCACCTCGAGCGGCCGAGGGGCGCGCGCGGGCGGCGGGCGCGGGCCCGGGGACTCCCGCGCACCCACGTGCCCGCGCCGAGCGCCGCTTCCCGCCCGCTCCCCGCAACGTGCGCCGCACGGGGCCCCGCCCGGCCAGCGCCGGCGCCGCCCAACCGCCGCCGAAGCTTCTGGAAGCGGCGCCCGGGAGCGGCGCGGGCGGCCTGCGGGTCGGGCCGCCGGCAGGGCCCGCGGCGGGCGCGGGGGCGGGGCCGGGCGGGGCCTCAGGGGCGGGGCCCCGGCGGCACGGCGCGCGATTGGCCGGCGGCGCGCTCGCCCCGCCCCCGAGCCCGGCCCCGCCCCGCCCGCCCCCTCCATGGCGCCGCCCGGGCTCATTCATTCCGCGCCTGCCCGGCCGTCCACCTGCGCGCTCCTCCGGGCCCCGCTGCCGCCGCCGTCGCCGCTGCCGCCGCCGCCGCCGCCGCCGCCGCCACCATGTCGGGCCCCGCCACCGAGCCGCCGTCGGCCATCCAGATCTGCCGGTAGGCCGCTCCGCCCGCGCCCGTGCCCGTGCCCGCGCCCGCCCGCCGCGGCCTCCGCGCCCCCCGCGCCGCCCGCAGCCTCTCGCCCGCCCGCCGGCTTTCGGGGCGCGGCCGGGCGGGGGGCGCGCGGGCAGGGCGGGCCGCGAGGGGCTGCGACCGGGGGCCCCGCCACCTGCCCGGCCGCCGCGGAGGATGCCCGGGCGGGGACGGCCCTCCGGCCTGCAGCCCGCACACAATGAGGGGCCACAATCAGGGCTTCCCCCCACCCCTCCACGGCTCCTGCCGCCGCCCGGCCCGGGGGGCGCCGGCCTCTCCGCTCCAGGGGGGCCCTCCTCAAGGTTACGGGCCTGGCCCAGCAGGCCCCGCTCGCTGCCCCGTCCCCGGCGCCCGGGACGGACGGGCGAGAGGCCGGCCGGACAGCCCGCGGACCCCCTCCCCAGGGACAGCCCCGCCCGTCCGGGCGCAAGGCCCTGGGCCGGGCGCTGGGCATCACTCTGACCTTCGGCACCTGCCAGGTGCCCGCTGACACCTGCGTCGGGCAGCTCGCCGGGCTGGACTCCCCGCGTCTGGGCGTCCGGGAGATGGGGGCCAGCCCCACCTTCGCCCTCTGCTGGCCTGACCTCAAGGTCACTCTGACTTCTCTGGGGAGAGGAGCTTTGGGGGGCTGATGTGCGGCTGGGGGTGAGTCCTGGGCCGGCCCCACCCCCTCCTCCTTCCCGGCAGAATAATAGGAGTAACCGATCTCGGACAGTGGCCGCAACCTGAGATGCGCCCAGTGGCCTCCCACTGGCCTCCTGTCCTTGGAGTCCTCGTCTGCAGAGGGCTGTGTGTCCAGTCCCAGGGGGCGTCTCCCATCCCTGGGGCTTCGGGTGGCTGGCCTTGGGGTCCTTGTGTGCAAGGGCCTGTGCGTCGTCCCATCCCTGGGGGCATGCGGCCACTGTCCTTGGAGTCCTCGTCTGCAGGGACTGTCGTCCTTTCCCTGGGGGCGTGGGGCCGCTGGCCTTGGGATTCTGCCTGAAGGGGACTGTCATCCCTTCCCTGGGGGTGTTCAGGTGGCTGTCCTTGGGGTCCTTGTCTGCAGGGGGCCGTGAGTCCCATGGGGGGGGGGCATCGGATGGCGTGTTCTCCCCCTCTGGTGCTGTGCATCTGTGCTCGCTCCGGAATTGAGACCTGAGTTCAGCCCCCAGGGTCCAGGCCGGCTTTCCTAGTTTCCTCTGGCACACGATTGTCGCTTTGTTCCAGTAGATTCTAACAGGCCTGGGTTTGGGTGGCTCTGGGCACACAGGGAGTGTGTGTGTTTGTGTATGTGTATGTGTATGTATGTGTGTGTGTCTGTGTCTGTGTGTTAGTGGATCTGCGTGAGGGTCTGTGTATGAGAATGTGTGTGCCTGTGTGTCTGCGTGTGAGTGTGTCTGTGTGTGTTTCTGTGAGCATGTCTGTGTGTAAATGTGTGTGAGTGTAAATGTGTGTGCCTGTGTGTGTCTGTGCATATGTGTGTGAGGGGTGTCTTTGTGTGTGTCTTTGAGTGTCTGTATGTGTCTGTGTGTCAGTTGTATGTGTGTGTTTTGTGTTTGTGAGTGTGTCTGTGTCTGTGTCTCTGTGTGTGAATGTGTGTGTATCTGTGAGAGTGTGTGTGGTTCCGTGAATGTGTCAGTGAGTGTGTGCGTGAGCTTGTCTCTGTGTAAATGTGTCTCTGTGTCGTGTGAGTGTGAGTGTGTAAGAGTTTGTGTCTGTGTGTCTCTGTGTGTGTCTGTGTGAGTGTGTGCAAGTGAGTGTGTGTTTGTGTGTGAATTAGTGTCTCTGTGTCTGAATGTGTCTGTGTGTCTCTGTATGTGTCTCTTTGTGAGTGTGTCTGTGTGTCAGTGTCTGTGTGCCTCTGTGTGTGTCTGTGTGTCAGTGTCTGCGTCTCTTTATGTCTGTGAATGTGTGCGTGTCTGTCAGTGTGTGTCTATGTGAGTGTATGTATGTGTGTATCTGTGTGTCAGTGTCTGTGTGTCTGTGTGTGTTTGTATGAGTGTCTTTGTGAGTGTGTGTGTTTGTGTGTCTGTGTGAGTGTCTGTGTGTCTGTCAGTGTCTGTGTGTGTTTGTATGAGTGTCTTTGTGAGTGTGTGTGTGTTCCCTTGTCACTGTGCAGGCTGCTGTCCTGTACTTTGACAGTTGCCTGTTGTCCCTGAGTGGCTGCTGTCCGGGGGGCCTGTGGGCAGGGTGCCTGGTGCCATGGCGTGGGCCAGGGGCTCTGACGCCCAGCCTGAGCACTTGGTCTCAAGCAAGCCTTGCCAGGTGGGGAGCTCTTTTCCACTGTCATTGTTTTTGGCCACACCCGGTGATGCTCAGGGTGACTCCTGGCTCTGTACCCAGGAATTACTCCTGGTGGAGCTTGAGGGACCCTGTGGGTTGCTGGGATCGAACCCCAGTGGCCTCAAGGAAGGCAAGTGTCCCCCCCACTGTCCTGTCCCTGTGACCCCAGGTGGGGAGGCAGGATGTGTGAGCCCAGCCCGGTGTGCACTGCAGGGGGGGACGGCACCACACTCCCAACCACAGGGCTTGCCGGTGGCCCTGTGGTCAGGCCGGAAGGACACTGAGCCCTGGCCTGGCCTGGTCGTTACAGAGGTGGGAAGCTGAGTCTCCAAGGGCCCTGGCTGAGGTGACCGTCAGGCACGCCCCTAAACGCGGCTCTAGGTGGGTGCCGGGAAGCGGAGTTGAAGGGCCTGGTATGGAACTGTGGATGAGCGGGGCGGGGGCTGGGAGCCCCCCAGGCGGCAGGCAGCTGAAAGGATGCTGTGACTAGGCCACACCCAGCAGTCCTCGGGGCTGATCCCGGGGGGGATTGGGAGACCAGCCAGGACCCCACCTGGAACATACGAGCTCTATTCCGACCCTCACTCTGGCCCCAGACATGGAACTTTTTTCTTTTTCTTTTTGGGTCACACCCGGTGATGCACAGGGGTTACTCCTAGCTCTGCACTCAGAAATCACTCCTGGCGGTGCTCAGGGGACCATATGGGATGCCGAGAATCGAACCTGGGTCAGCTGCGTGCAAGGCAAACGCCCTACCCGCTGTGCTATCTCTCCAGCCCCGACACGGAACTTTTGATGTTGTTCTGGGTGTTCGTCTCTGGGCCAGTGCTCAGGGAGCGCTCCTGGCGGGATTCAGGATGGTGCTGGAATTGAACTGCGGCCAGCCTTGTGCAACGCACCCAGAAGTGAATTTTTAATGGCATGTCTTTAAAAAATACTGATTTTCCCGGGTTCGATTCCCAGCTTCCCATATGGTCCCCTGAGCACGCCAGGGGTAATTCCTGAGCGCAGATCCAGGAGTAACCCCTGTGCATTGCCGGGTGTGACCCAAAAAGAAAAAAAAAAAAACAACTGATTTGCAGAGGTGGGTTGGGCTGGGCCTCAGGATTGTGCGGGGCTGGTCTTTCTTGGCCCTGTGCTCAGGAGCGACCCCTGGTGGCACGTGGGGCGCAGACCTGAGCCGGCTGCATGCAGGGACAGATGCCTCACTCCTATGCTATTTCTCTGGGCACACACCCCCTTTTTTTTTTTTTTTTTTTTGCTTTTCGGGTCACACCTGGTGTTGCTCAGGGATTACTCCTGGCTTTGCACTCAGGAATCACTCCTGGCAGTGCTCAGGGGACCATATGGGATGCTGGTAATTGAACCCGGGTCGGCTGTGTGCAAGGCAAACACCCTATCAGCTGTGCTGTCACTCCAGCCCCCCCCCCATTTAAAATTTATTTATTTTTTAGCTTTTTGGGCCAGACCCAGGGATGCTCAGGGGTTACTCCTGGCTCTGCACTCAGGAATTACTCCTAGCAGTGCTTGGGAAACCCTACTGGATGCTGGGGATCGAACCCGGGCATGGACACATGCAAGGCCAATGCCCTCCCCGCTGTGCTGTCCCTCAGTTAATTGTGTTTTTTGGTTTGGGGGCCATGCCCATTAGTGCTCAGGTGGTACTGGGCAGGGCTTGGGGGACCAGGTGGTGCCAAGGACCAAACCCAGGCCTCCCACTCTCGCCTGAAGCTTTCTCCACGGCCCCTGGTTTTGATTTAAACGTAGATATCTGTGAGTCAGTATGCAGAGGAATGTAGAACCAGCGTCTAGGCGGGCCTTGCCGGGAGGGTCTGTCACAGGGGGAGTCGGGAGGTCTGGAGAGGCCCATGCAGACCCTCCCATGCCCACAGACTGCAACCTTGACTTATAGGCCCTCAGCTCAAGTCTGCCTGCCTGTCTGCCGTCCGTCGTTCCTTCCTTTTGTTTTCTGGTTTTGAGGTCACACCCAGCAATGCTCAAGGGTTTACTCCTGGCTCTGTGCTCGGGAATCACTCCTGGTGGGCTCAGAAGACCAGGTGGGCTGCTGCCCGGGATCGCACCTGGGTCAGCCGCGAGCAAGGCGCGTGCCCACCCCGCTGTGCCATCGCTCTAGCCCCTGTGAGTCCTTCTCTCGCTTGCTGTGTTCTTCTGGAATATTGTGGGGTGCCGTGAGCACCTCCTGACGTGCTGGCACCTGGCCACAGGTGCTACACGTTCGAGAGAAGGCGTCTCTTCCGTGGCGTGGCGACTCTTTCTCCCGAGGCATGGATCTTTGGTCTCGGGGCAGAGAGGAACGAAAACGCAGGGTCTGACTTGTGGGAAGCGCACTCAGAACTTGTGTTCCGGTACCTTCTCCAGAACGTGCGCGGGGCTGGCCCTGCATGCCGGGTGGGGTCTTGGCACGCAGGGGAGGACGCAGTCTGCAGGGGGAGCTCAGTTCCGCTGTCCAGTGTCCTGCCAGTGGGCCAGGAAGCCTTGGCACTGCCACTGGCCAGTGCCCTGGTCCAAATAGGGCCAGTGCTCCTTCCCGCTCCTCCCTGCACTCCAGGTCCCTTGTCACCCCCAGGGCACTGATACCAGACCTCAGAGGTCGGGAGCTTGTTGGAGAGGGATGCAGATGGTGCTAGTCAGGCTTTTTCGTGGGCGCTTTCCTTGGTCACACCTGGTGCCCAGGAGCTGTT